TTTTTTACGATCGAATTTTGCTGGTCATCGAATAAAAATTAATAGAAATTTATCGGTCTTATGTACTGTAGGTACATATATATAAATACCTACATACATATGTGTGTATAAGTGGTGTGATCAAAAAGTTCTAAAATTGTTCTTAATCCCCCAAAAACAAACATTTATTTGACATTTATATTTCTTTATTCGTGACTTTTTTTTAAATATTATTATTTCTCATACATAATCAATCAAAAAATTACAAAGACGTTGAAATATTTCGTTTACACCTCGTATACGCATATATTCAATGTGACATTTCAAGAAAAATAAAAACTTTCGTATAACTACGAAATCTTGATTAAGAAAAAAAAAAAATCATCAGGAGATTCTCCGACAAGTTGTCCCATGAGAACTTGGTTTTAATGACGATCTAGGATGCAAGGTCTAATTTCCGCGACAGCGGGACATTCTAGGAAGCCTCTACCCCCCGGCTTGAACGAAATCCTTCTCGAGCGGTATTTCCATGATGGGAAGAGCAACGACGTGCCCGTTGATTATGCTGCTCAAATCATCCAACAAGGCAGGGATCATGGTTTACCATCTTACGTCAAATGGCGAACATTTTGCGGTTTACCAGACGTTACCAACTTTCAGGATCTTAAAGGCACAATAGCCAAGGACATAGTTGAAAGATTACGACAAGTTTACAAGTAAAATATATTATATGTTTATTTATAAGGTATCGCTTGAAAAGTCGTAAGTTGATGTTTTTTCTTTCTGAAATAGGAAAGCTGAAGACATAGACTTAGTAACAGGAGCACTCTCAGAAGCACCAGTGGCTAATTCAGTCCTTGGACCAACTTTCCTCTGTTTGTTAGGACGTACCTTCCGAAATGTTCGTTTGGGTAATAGAAAATCAATATCTGTCATTTAAATTCATTAGAATGACTAATAAAACATTATTTTTGGTAATCGTCTTATCAAATCGTTTTAACAGGCGATAGGTATTGGTACGAAAATGCTAATACGCCAGGATCCTTCACGATAAATCAATTGGAAGAAATTCGTAAGAGTACGATGGCACAAGTTCTATGCAACAACGGAGATCACTTGAAATTAATGCAACCAAGAGCATTCATTTTGAGAGATCCTTTCTTGTAAGTATATTGAACAACGAGATAATGATATTATAATTTTTCATCGTATCAAGAAAATTATTATTACATTTTCAGAAATCTCATGACGAACTGTACAGAACATATAAGCGTAGGTCCGAATCTGATGGTATGGAAAGAAAAAGAAGACGCTTTTTAAATTGTTTCGATTCGATCAAACGTAACAACCATTGATCGTGATCATTAATTCTGTTCCTGACTTTACTAGAGAATGTAAGATTACCTAATACTCCAGAAAGATGCGTTGTGTTTTTTTTTAATTTTATTTTATTTTATTATTATTATAATGAACTCAACGACAATCTTGTGTCAAGTCAGGGTAATGTCGCGTTTATTTGCGTATCGTAAAACGATACGTCTTCTTGTATGCATAAACATGAATACCAGTTTCTCTATTAATGAAGAAAAACACGGTTCAACGAAGGTTTCTTTCGTATACACCTCGGGCTACTTGCCCTTTTTCCTTGTTATATTATAATATTTTACTTCATGTTGTTATTACGATTGAAAATTACTTGACCGTACTACCATTGTGACACGATAACGATCAAGAGAAAGAGAAAGAGAGAAAGAGAAAGAGAAGGTCAGTACCATTCTCCTTAAGAAGAATACATAAAATTACCTAGCAACGGAGCTACACCAAATTGCGAAACGTTCAAGACCTCTATGGCGTTCGCATCCATTATTACTGTTATTCTCTATAAAGAACTCAGCCTTCTTTTGTACAACTGGAACGTGAAATCATTAAAAAAGAAAAAAAAGTGTTATTACAGAATAAAAGAGAAACATTTTTAACGGGCTTTATTTTTAATACTAAGAATATAAGCATAGTTGAATTCATGCAACAAAATTTGTCATCTCAATGTATTAATATCTATTATTTTATTCAATCGATAAAATCCTAATATTAATTTTTTATATTATTTTCATTTTTTCTATGTAATTTGATAGAGTCAGTGATCAATTTATTCGTTGTACGATTGCGTCATTTATTTAAAAAAATATCTGATTGTATAATATATTATATTTCATAGGCTTACTGGTGAGTAAAATAATGAGTTGCTTGGATTTAGAATTCAATACAAATTACAGAATTTTATTATACAACTTTAATTTCTAATTGTATGATAGTAAGTTGTATATTTAACTCTATCGCAACTCCATCTGGTAAGTGACGTAGGAGTTATCTTATGGCAACGCAAAAGTATACAAAACAAACAAATTAAATCAAAAATCTGATATTAAAGTAAAAGCTTAAATTTGGCAAACATTATTTAAATATTATAAGAAAAACTTGTTATAGTTTCGTTATAAACGTTATAATTTCGGATGATACGTCGAAGGAAAAAAATAGATTCAACTAGAATTATAAATAAGGTTAACGAGTTTACAGTTATTTTGACACAGTATGCTAACATCTATTTATATAGAAGGAAGCAATATTATTTAAAATAAACATAGATGCTCTTTAAAATTAATCGCATAATTATTAATTCGAAAAATGAGTTATTGCGACAGACGTAAGTGTAATAAAGTTAAATTATATATTCAGAAAATGTTTAAAATATTTCTTAATCAATTATTAAAACAGATCATGTTTTTTTTTTTGGATAAACATTAAACTTTTAGAAGGATTAACAGAAGAATGTCCCTTGACACAGGACAAAACTAACAAATGTAAATTAAGCCACTGTTGTGGAGGTAGTATGAAATTAATTGTTTGTTGTTTCGCTATTTTATCCTTCGCTATAACAACTATACTAGTATTACAATTGGTTTACGCTAGTAATTTACTGCAGGTACATATTTTAATACATATTAGCACATTTTAAACACAAATTAACACATTTTGAACAAATATATATTTGTTTTTTTTATAAGGATCTCAAACAAAATTATAAGTATTAATTTTTATTTTTAGGCCAATAGTAGTATTCATGGTGCTGTTGCCACAGATTACACTAATTGCTCGCAAATAGGTACTAAAATATTAAGAAAGGGAGGTAATGCAATAGATGCAGCTATAGCAGCTACCGTATGCATGACAGTAGTAGCTCCACATAAGACAGGTCTTGGTGGGTAAGTAATTTAAGGAATATATATTGTTAAATATATATACAATTTTAATTCCTTCAGAGGTGGCTATATGATATTATATAGTCATAAAGATAAATCAGAACCATTAGTCATCAATTTTGCGAACAATACTGTTGGAGGTCAGTATAAATTAATCAAAATTGTATTCAAAAAATCGTTGATGGTTTGATCGATTTTAGTAATTCTTATTACTATAAAATATAGGTATTTTTGGTACACTAGGAATACGCTTACCTGCTGTTTTGAAAGGCCTAGAATTCGCTCATATTTTAAAAGGAGTTTTACCATGGAATGAACTTATAGAACCAGCAGCAAAATTAGCTAGAACAGGATTTGTAATATCAAAAGAATTAGAATATGAATTATCAAATAATAGCGACTATGGGATGCTTTATGGTCATATAAATGCTGGTGATATTTTAAGATTAAATGATCTTGCAGATACGTTAGATGCTGTTGCAAAAAATGGCACAATTGGTAAAAAATTTGAAAATTCATTATTATATAAAATTATGATAATATATACATAACATGTAACATAATTTTCTTTTCAGTTTTATACAATGGGACTTTGTCGTTGAAACTTTTACGTGATGAAGTTAAAAAGGAAGAATTATTATTACAATTGGCAAATTACAAACCTGAGATAAGTATAGCAAAAAAGACTTCCTTTTATAAACATTCATTATACTATCCTTCAGGTGTATTTGATTTTGAAACTTCTATAAATGCACTAGAAGATCTCAAAATATCATTCGAAATTGCATCAAAGACTGAAACTATGGGTCTTGTTGCTCAAACATTATTGCATTCTAATGGAAGGTCATCAGACATGATAAAAAATGGTTGGTAATAAATATAACTTATAAAAAGAATTATAAATTTGCTAATTAATTCAATTTGTTTTAGTTGAACAAGAAAGATACACTGGTGTCATGGTGATGGATGGACAAGATTCTTATGTCAGTGTTTTAACGTTAGTATTTTTCTATATTATTATATATAATACAAAAAATAAATATATATTAAATTTTTAAATTTAAATTATGCAGTGGATTAAGTGCACCTTTAGGATCAATTCATATGACTGGCACTGGTTTTTTACTAGATAAGACTGGTAATGATAACGATTTATCAACTCTACTTCCAATTATTTTCCATAATGAAGAAAAACCGTGTGAATTACGTGGAGTATTAGGAACTGATGATACAATTTTAAGTAGTCAACTTTTATACCATTTGATAGTACGTGGCTTAAATGTTTCTACTGCCATTGAGCATCCAAGGTATATCCATTTTAAACTATACATATATACATACATATATATATATATACTGTTTATTTTTTAGATACTATCTTTTATCTGATGGTATTAGTATAGAAAATGATCAATCACACATATTAAAAACAGTATTACAAAATAAATCAAATTTATCAATGCCTGTTTCAAATATTGATGCCATTTCAATATCAAAAAGTGTAAATGCTATTATAAAACATAGAGATTTGATAACAAGTCATTCCGATAGCCGTGGAGGCGGTCTTGCATCTAGATTTTGAAGATTTTTACTTTTTATATAATTTTGATACAATGATATAAAGTATACACAAATATTTATGAATATTACATTATTTTATAATATATACCATAATAATATTATTTATTATATTTAATATAAAAAAAAATTGTTCATAGTTTAACTGTTAAATAAATTATACTAAATGAAAATAAAGTAGGAACTTTCTCTCTTTATATAATATCGTATCCTACTTTATATATATATATATATAATCTATAATATTATACTTTTAATAGCAATCTTTCTGCTTTGTACTCAGCATTTAAATCAAGTTGTCTAAATCTAGCATAAGCTGCACTACTACTTAAAACAATAACATTGCTAGTCCACCACAAAAATGACTTGTGTTCGTTAAACCAATATGTTGCTAAAATAGTTTGTGCACAAGCTTTTGCAGTACCACTGACATTATGCGTTAAAGGAGATGTTACTTTTATCTGAAGAGCTGTAACATAACCAATTGCAAAACCACAAATACCACCTATGACCATTGCACTCCAAAAAAAAGGTTCTCCAAGTTTGTCGTAATTGTAAACTTCCCAATGTTCGCCATTAAATAACATTAAGGGTATAAAAAGGAAAATACTGTATAAATTATTATAATAAGAAAGTAACCAAATATTTTGATTTACTGCAGGAAGAATATGTTTAGTATGAATCGAATATAAAGAGAGTGTTAATGATCCAACTACACCTAATATTGTTCCTAAAACAGACAAAGAACCTGCAACATTTTCTTGATCAACGCCAAGCCAAAATCCAGCGACAATCATAGTACAGCATAAAATACTCTTCATTGAAGTTTTTTGTCCTGTTAATGTAAAGCAAAATTTGTTTAGTATTTTTTTAGTATATTTTTAAAATTTATATAGACACAATTATTACCAAGAATTATATAAGTAAAGATAACATTAAACACGGTAGTCAATGATCTGCCCACATAATAAAATGCAACTCCAACGTATTTTAAACATAAGTTGTTTGAAGCTATCATTGCAGTAAAAAGTATGGACAATGGCAATATCTATAAAATAAGAATAATATCTGCTAAATTCTTATAATAGAATTAAGACAATAGATTTAAAAATAATACCTTTTTAATCGTCTCTTTTTTAAACGGATTGCCATTGGGAAATTTAAGATATTTTGGAAACAATATAGATAAATTACTAAGAGTTACACATATAACAACGCTCACAATACATTGGAACCATGTCACAAATAATGGTGCATCCAAATTTACAGTTTTACTAGACAACAGTGCCTTATTTACAAAGACTGTCAAAATTGACACAATCCTAAAAAATAATTCAATATTTTCTTATTATTTCATTAAAACAAGAACTATATTATATATAAAACCATTACGTACCAATAAATAGCAACGACTGATGCTATATAAGAATATCTTGATAAAATTTCTATATCCATCTTTACAGAAAATGCATCATACTTCTAACTATGACAAAGTATATGATTTGACATCTAAATTAGCCCTTTCAAATTAATTTATTAATTCATAATAACAGAAAGTATCAAAGAAATATTAGAAACTTAAGTATATTTTTTCAATTATATAATAAAATATAATATTTAATAGAAACAAATATCACATAATTGAGAAATGTATTTAATCTGCTATAAAAAACATTTTAACAGAACAGTTTTATTAATAGATTGCAAACATACTTCTGATAAGAATTATTAATAAATAGTAACATTTTCTGTACCTATTTATACTGTAATAAATAGAAATGATTCACTTAAATAACGTATTGTCAATCATTCCAATCCAATCATAGTTAAAGACATAAATAAAAAACATTGAAGGAGTATTAAACTCACTTCAAATATACAATAGATTTTGACATATATAAAATTAAGAGAAATACTCCTATCTATATATTAAAAGTAGCATAAGTATACACCTTTAAGTCATTTGTAGAAGTTGCACATTACTTACAGAAATAAATAACCTAAGTGAAGAAAGTTATTCAACATATTTTTTCTATGACCAATCAGAATACGTTTCTGAGGACAAAACATTAAGGGCAGTTTTCAAAGATATTAAACAACGTGCATTAAAGAGAAACATTTAATTCTTTATCATTTCCAATATATTGTTTATGGAAGTCATTACGTCACATTTCGTTGTTTAATATTCTTTATTAGATCTTATATGGGGTGTCTTGTTAATAGAAATTATATTCATTCACACATCGTTTGTGTGGAAAACGTAAGCCTTAAGTTACAATATTTACTACATACTTTCGTCAAATTAATTTTACTTCAAAATATTTCGCGATATTAATAAAAAAACAATATTCTCATTTATTACATTTTAATATATATTATTTGATAATAATCTATAATAATCTTGACTTTTGAATGTGTATAATGTATTAGATTAGTTACGCAATATTCAATTTTCATTTTATTTTCCTCGTAGAAAACATTTAAAATTCTACCGTATCTAATTCTCTCGTTTTGCATAGTACATAAAGTTTATCTTCAAAAGATAAAGGTTAAATTACATTGATGTCAAAATTTTGGACTTCGACCACAAAATATTTTTGAATGGCTTTCATAATAAAATAACTCTTTCTCTGGAAGTTTCCAACAGTAATGCACACACCAATTATATTACTTATATAGATATATATATAATTTGTATTGCGTACGCGCGCGCGCGCGCGTGTGTGTGTGTGTAATATATATATATATATATATATATACTTTGATGCACGTGGTATATTATATGTTATCTGACGTCTTCGGATTCTGTCGGTAGTAACAGGCAGAGTTGCTAATTCCGTTGACACAAAAACTTCGTAGTTGGTGTGTTCAATTTGCTGACATCTTTTTAGAATTCCTTACTGATATTATAATACTCAAATGTAATAAACTGGGAAAATATTTACCACGCAACAGGTACAACGCAAATTAATTTTAACAATATTAATACCTATTAAGATAATATATGTTGTATTACATATATCTATACATACATATATATATATATATATATATATATGTATATATATGTATATGATATTTATTTGATCGGAATATTTTTTTGGTCTATGTTTTATATAATCTGCATAGATTTGATTTATTGATACATATACAAGTATATTTAGGTAAATTCTTGCTCAATAAAACGAAATTTAATTACGTTTCATCGAATACATGGAAATTATACATACTCGGTAAAACAGTTTCGTAGTAGTGATAAGCTCAAAAATAATAAGGTTAAAGTATATACCGTTTTTTTTTAATTCTTTAAAAATATATAATTACTATACCATATTATGTAAGAAGTTGTAACCTCTAAGTAGTATGAAAGTGACAATTAATGAATAATTCCGTAATATTTCTAAAATACTATGATATCTAATAATTACGATTTTATCAGCTGTGACAAGAATACAACTGCATTGTTGTCAATTTAATATTGAACATCTTACATATTACGTTCGCCCGCGATTAATTATATTAAACGTCGACAAATTTCCAAATGTTATATTAACAATATTAAATTCGTTATATTTCAAAATCAGTGGCAGTCAATTTTTTTGTATTAATATGAAAATATAGAAATGATTGTTTTATGAAAAAAAAAGGAAAATAAATATTGGGTACATAAATGGTTATATTATCTTGTAGGTTAAGAATTGGACATAATATTTCTAAAATATGTCGCAATACGAGAATGATATTATTGAAGACAAAGATAATAATCCTAATACATCAGGAGACTTAGGACTTCGTCATAGAATACCATGGAGCGACCGTATATTGCTAAACAGTGAAATTCCAGGTCTGCATGAAGTTAAAGAATTATTAGAAGACGATGATGCCAGCTGTTTGGCAGAAGAAGAGGATGGGGTTGGATGTCCCCTTCCGTCTACTCCTGAAGATGATCATCTTTTGGATTGTGAGGTACTGTACTAATAAAATATTTATGTCTTTCTTATATTACAATAATCATTTTTAATTCTAGATGACAGAAGTATTAAAAGCAGGAGTATTAAGTGATGAAATTGATCTTGGTGCCTTGGCTCATAATGCTGCTGAACAAGCTGAGGAATTTGTTCGTAAGGTAAAGTATCCAAATGTTAGATAAATTTCTACTAATCTTAACTTTTACACACAGATTAATATAAATTTAGTTTTTATAAATTAGTTTGTAACTAATAATAGCATATTATAGGTCTGGGAAGCATCTTGGAAGCAATGTCATTTTAGAAATTTACCTCGGTGGTTGCAAGATAACGATTTCTTACATGCTGGTCATAGACCACCGTTACCATCATTTTATGCTTGCTTCAGAAGTATTTTCCGTATTCATACAGAAACTGGCAACATCTGGACACATTTACTTGGTAAATTAAAATATTTCAGGAAAATATTCTATATTTGTATTGGGAAATAATTTAACAAGAAATGAATCCTCTATTATTATATATATTCATAATACTTATTTTTTTGTAGGTTGTGTGGCATTTATTGGCATAGCTATCTTTTTCCTAACGCAACCTCCCATAGAAATCCAATTGGAGGAAAAATTAGTATTCGGTACCTTCTTTGCAGGTGCTATCATTTGTTTAGGATTGTCATTTGCCTTTCATACAGTCCACTGCCACAGCGAATGTGTAGGGAAATTATTTTCCAAATTAGATTATTGTGGAATAGCTATGCTCATCATGGGTAGTTTTGTACCATGGCTTTATTACGGTTTTTACTGTGACTACCAACCTAAACTTATTTATTTATCCGTGGTGGTTGTGCTTGGTATAACAAGTATTGTAGTATCATTGTGGGAAAGATTTGGTGAACCCAATTATAGGCCTCTTAGAGCTGGCATTTTTATGGGTTTTGGCCTTAGTGGGGTAAGTACTATCTGTATGGTTATATGTATGTATTCCCATATATAATATAAAATAAGAAAAAAGATAATATAAAGTGTTTATCACATAATAAATTATTGTTATTTTGTAACTTAAAATATTTCGTAGGTAATACCTGCTGTTCATTATGCTATAACAGAAGGCTGGTTCAAAGCAATTAGTCAAGCATCACTTGGCTGGTTGATACTAATGGGAAGTCTGTATATTTTGGGTGCACTGTTTTATGCATTAAGAGTACCTGAACGATTTTTCCCTGGAAAATTTGATATTTGGGTAAATGTTAAAACATTTATTATATTATTTATTTTATTTTATGATCCTCTTTGATATTCATTTTCTTTCTTCCATATATTTAGTTATTTATTTATAAACTCGATTTGTGTAAACTTAAATAGCTAAAAAATATTATGGTTTTTAGTTTCAGAGTCATCAAATCTTCCACGTATTAGTAATTGCTGCTGCTTTTGTTCATTATCACGGTATAACAGAAATGGCAATGCATAGAATGACAATAGGCGATTGTGCAAATCCAGCTCAGGTGATAGCATTTTGAACATGTAACAATATACTATGAGTATATTATCAATATTTTGTCGAATGTCTTCTCTCTGCATAACTGTAATAAGACTAAAAGGATTCCTAAAGTTATCACATATAAATTGGTGTTATTAAGGACTTGACCACAAAAATTTCTTTCGATAATTGTGATGTTATTAATAACATACAAGTAACATTACATTTTTAAATGCAAGTAAATCATGTATTTTGAGCACTTTAATTTGCATCAAATTTATATGCTTTTTATAATTGGCTAATTATATAAAATTCAGAATTTAATATATTTTTACACTCAGTCTATAAAAAGATAATAGTTCATTAAAAACGCAAGTTACATTCAACAGTGGATTATATATAAAACAGTTCTCTATGGTAAAAATGCCATTTTTATATTAACCTTTAGCCAGAGTCTTGGTGATTCGAGTAAATTCTACTTTTGATGACAGATTCGTTAGTTATATATATCGTATTTAAATCACTGTTTTACATAGATATCTACAATAGTTAAAAGTCGTGTTTATAAATCAAACCGTATTGTATCAGAAAAAATGTCTATCGCAATTACACTACGTCTCTTGCTAAAGGTCAATTTTTATACAGTCTCATCTAAATCCATTGCATAATAAAATTCTGTGGTCTGCCTTAGATTCAATCTTGAACTGTTGGAGATAAATACTTGTGATCTTTACTTATTAGATTAATTAGATTTTAATACTAAGATATATGTACAGTGAAACAAGGGCTACAGTACAGAAAGTGGCTGTCTAAGCAACAGTAATTAAATTCAATGCGTGATTCTTTAGTTCAAATCGTTAATAATAACAATAATATAATAATAATAATATAATAATGTGAAAATAAGATTAATATTAATTATAAATATTACAATGATAATAATTAAACTCTTGTTCAACTTACTTTTATACTTTACACAGCCACTTGAGAAAGTTAAAACTAATGTAAAGTATAAAAGAAAGTATATAAAAAATGCAACAAAAGTTTATGTCTGAGAACTAGGAACCAACCATAAATACAAATGACTTTATAGTATAAGCACTCTGAAAATCGTAATATATTTTGATCACATTCATTGTTAAAACAATGTAAACCTATTTATTCTTATGATTATTACGAATGTAGTGCAATATTTAAATTTTTTTGTTTCTTTTTTGTTTTTTTACTCTCGATGTTTCGGCGCTTAAACTTTTTTTTCCAATTATAGTCTATATCGGAATTATATATTTTTGTAGCTGTCAAGTGTTGGATAGGTAAATTATGATTGATATATTATCTATTTATTAAATAATTAATTCTGAAACCTAGGTACACACAGATTGACAGATCCGTATCATTTATTATCGTATAGTTACGATTAGTAATTAGTAACAGAAATTAATGGTACTCTACAATGTACTTATTTATTTTATATTTCTATCTAACCTATAATTCTAGAAAGCTTATCTCTTAGTTTATTACCAAGTTTCTTTCATTAACTCCTTAAAACATCAGATTTGTAATTTAATACTTCAAAATATTTAATTTTCTTTTTGGAAAACAATGTGTTATACGTTTCTGTCAGTCTAAGATAAGAAAATGTTGAAATATTATTTTATGTTATTGTCAAAAAATCTAGTACTTAGAAAGAATGTTGTTAAACTTTTTACACAAATAAAAATATGAGTACTATTAATAAATTAATAAAGAAACCAAATAAATATGCATCTCATATGTAACAGTATAATACATTGATTATGTTTTTTAGTTATTATACAAAATTATTTTTAGACTATAATGTTAATTTATTTTCTGATTAAGAACGACTTTTAGATTATATTACAATAACACTACTTTAGCTAATAATGTTTTCTGCCCTCTACTGCAAAACATTCCAGTTTAAAAAGAAAGCTCAAAAGATTAAGCTATTTGAATTTGGCGGTATTTATCACTTTTACCATTTTCTATCCTTGTTTACAATGTTACCACCAAATACATTATCATGAAGAAAATATAAAATAACTAAAATGTTTTAATTAATATTCCTTGTAATTCTTATTTAAATACGTAGGTTTATAAAATGTATTAAATCAAATATTATAATCCTATAAATGAATTCATTTCTATGCTTGCATTTCATTTCATTTCTAGGAACCTTATTTCTTTAAGATTCTACCACTGTTTTCTCAGTTATAAATTTGAATATGTTTAGATAAGGTTAAACATCACGCAGAAAATGTTTTCTTTTTTTATGCTGATTTATTTTTGACTAAAATTTGTATATAATTAGTTGCTTTATAATTAACATGGTACGATTTCAATTATTCATTATTTGTTTAAATTCTATTGTGAAAGAATGATGTCTTTGTAAAATTACTTTCTGTTATTGAAAAAGTTTACTTCTTATGACAAATTTAGGATTATTTATTATGTCATAATAAATAATAAAATTGGTACGTATTAATATTATTGTATTTTTGTTTTATTTAAGATTCGTTCCTCGGCTCCAAGCCAAAGAGGTAAACGTCCTTTGCTTTTGGATGTATCTAATACTGTGGAGTTTGTGAAACGAACACAACCCATAATACAACGTTCCAAAAAAGTATGTAGAAATAATACCAAAAATATACACATCCCTGAGCATAAAGCTGCGACACTTTCTGATAAAGATATTTCAGCCACACAAGGTGTAATATCCGAACATGTAAGTTGTAGCTATTATTTCATTGATATAAAATTTTATATAAATATTATTATAATATCTGATAAATTTACAGGAAGAAAGAGTCAGAAAATTATTAAGTAAACCATTTAAAATACCAATTCCTGGATACCATTTATCTGGACGTACACTTGGTATACGTTTATCTGGTCCAAGAATCGCTTTACATGACCCCAATGAAGCTAATGCATTAGTAGTTTACGTACCTCCTGAATTATCAGAACACGACAGGATAAAACTAGATCCGTTAGTAACCATAGGACAAATACATTAATGGAAAAATATAAATTATTTGTCAGTTATATAAAATATTTTGTTTTTTAGGTCCAAACAACTTGTACATGTAGTTGTTGATCCCTTACTATGCAATATTTTAAGACCACATCAACGTGAGGGAGTAAAATTCATGTATGAATGTGTGACAGGAAAACGCATTGAAAATGCATATGGATGCATCATGGCAGATGAAATGGGTCTTGGCAAAACTTTACAATGTATTACTCTTTTATGGACATTATTAAAACAAGGTAACAATACATTATTTTTTTTATTTCTCTTATGAAAAGTATAAAAATATTTATTCATGTCATTATTTTTAAGGTCCAGAATGTAAACCACTGATAGAAAAAGCAATTATCGTTGCGCCAAGTTCCTTAGTTAAAAATTGGTACAATGAAATTTTTAAATGGCTTAACAACAGAGTTCGCCCATTAGCAATAGATGGTGGAAGTAAAACTGATATTGATACCAAGCTTAAGGGTTTTATGAAAACTTATGGACGAAGATGTGCTAATCCAATTTTAATTATTAGTTATGAAACATTTAGATTACATGCACATGTTTTACATCAAGATGAAGTTGGCCTTGTATTATGTGATGAAGGGCATCGTTTGAAAAATTCAGAAAATCAAACATATCAAGCTCTTATGGGCCTAAAAGCTAAAAGGAGGGTATTACTTAGTGGAACACCTATACAAAATGATCTCTTGGAATATTTTTCTCTCGTTCATTTTGTAAATCAAGGACTTTTAGGAACAGCACAGGTAAGTTTAATTATATAATTTAATAACGAAATAATGTGTTACGTTATTCACAAAATAATTCAAATTTAGGAGTTTAGACGAAAATTTGAAATACCAATACTTCGTGGGCAAGATGCTGCAGCAACAGATAATGAACGTAAATTAGCTCAAGAACGATTGACAGAGTTAGTGACTATTGTTAACAAGTGTCTTATTAGACGTACTAGTGCTTTACTTTCAAAGTATTTACCATTAAAACATGAGCTAGTAGTTTGTATAAAAATGGGAAAATTGCAAACTGATCTTTATAAAAATTTTATACAAAGCGATAGTATAAAAAAGTCTATGGAAGGTATCATCATTTCATTTTTCTCTTATGGTAGATTTTTATTTCATAATAAAATTAAACTATATTTATATTACCGTACTCTTAAATTTGACTTTTAGAAAACAACTCTGAATCTTCTAAAAAAGGTGGAAGAACTCTTTCTGCACTGTCTGCAATTACATTATTAAAAAAATTATGTTGTCATCCTGATTTAGTATACGATAAAATAATAGAGAAATCAGACGGATTCGAAAATGCTTCGAAATTATTGCCATCAAATTACAGTACAAAGTATGTTCTTTTAACTAATACATTTTATGTTGTAAATTATACAATATATTCTACGTAAATTTTTTTTATTTTAGGGAAATTTTACCTGAATTATCAGGAAAATTTATGGTATTAGATTGTCTCTTAGCTTCCATTAAATCTACAACACGTGACAAAATAGTTCTTGTATCTAATTATACACAGACACTTGATCTATTCGAAAAATTATCTCATAAGCGTTGTTACAAATATGTGAGATTAGATGGTAGCATGTCAATTAAAAAGAGATCAAAAATAGTAGATAGTTTCAACGATCCAAACAGTGATGATTTTATATTCATGCTAAGTTCTAAAGCTGGTGGATGTGGTCTAAATCTTATTGGAGCAAATCGTCTTGTAATGTTTGATCCAGATTGGAATCCTGCGAATGATGATCAAGCTATGGCTAGAGTTTGGAGAGACGGTCAAAAAAAACCATGTTTTGTTTATCGTTTTCTTTGTGTAAGCAATGCAATAATCATAATTTTTTTTACTTGCGAAATACTAGTATCTAATTATGTTTATTATAGACTGGCACAATAGAGGAAAAAATCTTTCAAAGACAAGCGCATAAAAAAGCATTGAGTTCAACGGTGGTTGATCAAGAAGATGATGTTGCAAGACATTTCACTTTGAACGATCTTCGTGACTTATTTAAATTAGAAGAAAATACAGTTTCAGATACACATTCGAAGTAAGTTTTAAAAAATGTTTTAAAATTGATCATAAAGTTGTCTAGAATACTGTATTTCTTTTGCTATATTTTATAGGTTTAAATGTACAAGATGTGTTAATGGAATAGAAGTAAAAGGTCCACCGGAACAATCAGATTGTAATTCTGATTTATCAGACTGGCGACACAGTCAAAATCCTAGACATTTACCAGACATTCCATTACGACAATGTTGGTCTAGTGGTATTTCATTTGTTTTTCATCATCGTTCACATGAACAGGTAAAAGAGTAACGTATTGAGATTATTTAAAGTTATATTTAATAATCAAAAGTTTTTACATAATTTTATAACGCGTCATCATAATTTATTGTACAGTATTATAAAATATAACAACGTTATACAAAATAAGAGAAAAATATATTGTTTATATTCTATGCGCTATTTATATATATTGCCCTATTATTAAGATAAAATTATTAATTCAATGAATAATTTTTATCATTTTCTATTTTAAATTTATATTCTGTTAATACGTATAAATAAATAAATAATCAATATATGTATAGATTTAGTATAAATGAGAGTAATACGATAGTAACCTATAATTAAAAAAAAAAAGAATGTTCATTGTCTGTATTTCGAAACAAAGCGCGCTTTTCTGTTTATGCAATATTCGATAACCGTGACGATCGTTGCTCGAAAGTAGTAATTTTCAGGTTAGATGTTTGCAGAACAGGTAGTAGATACTATTAAGCCCGCCATTCCGTTGGAAGAGACGAGGGAACGATCTCGGCAACTTCAAGAATTTCTTTCGCACAGAATAACGCGTACTAACGGAACGGGCGGTGATGGAAACATGGCGGCAGATAGAAGAGAAGAGAACGTAAAGAAAGAGCGTCAGTGAGAACGGAAGAGTGGGAAGAGAGTAATGGGGCGTAGGTTAGGGGGAAGGCCAAATAAAGGGTAGAGAAGCACGTGATCTATACGTGCGTCCTACGATTGGTGGGAGCGAAAGTAGCTAGACTCCCCACCCCTGACCTGCTCCCGCTTGCTCGACCGCTTTCCCAGGTTTCGTGCAACCGCCCGCTCAGAATAGTTCCAGATGTGGCCATGTTTAGTTTGATATTTGAAGTTTTCGCTCATTGTACTCACAATTGCTACATTTTTATACTATCTTTGCTGACAATTAGTAGTAACGCTTTGTCCGAAAGATAATCGTACTCTTCGCCTGCCTGTCTGCCTGTCTGCCTGCCCGCTCGCCCGCCTGCCTGTCTGCCTGTCTACGGCCGCTAGTCTCGTTCATACAAACGTTCATTATCTCCTCTCTTATCAACATAAAAAGAGAGTGAGAAAGAGAAGAAAGAGAGATTTAAAGAGAGACTTAAAGAGAGAACAATTAATTAGATTTTCTTAAAAAAAAAAAACGCGTAACGTCATTGTCGCGTCGTTGTTACCGACTACACCGACGAAGAAATTCATAAAACGATAATCGCGCGAATCCGTGAATCGATTAGAATTAAAAAAAGGTTTCATTTCTTGCTTTGATAACAATCGACGCGTTAAAAGAATAACGAAAATACATCGGACTTAATATTATACATAATATATATAGAAATACGTAGAATCATTGAACGCCTCGCCCTCTTGCGGTCGTTTTTTCAGGAAGGGAGCATCTATAGATGCCATCCCTTTTCCGGCCCCCCCTCTCACGTCACGGAGAGAAGAACGAAGCACGACAAATTTGATCACGTCGGGATGCGAAGTGGAAGCTTTCCGTGGCCTTTGTCCGAATTATACATTTTATTCTCATAGATTTATCTTAAACGCGTTAAAATAATTACTTTATTGATATTAGTTTTTCGTTTTTATTTACGATCAATCGTCTCTCACTATATACTATCGCATCCCACCAAAATTCGTTTAAGTCAAATTTTGTTACGCGTAACAGAGGTACATAAACGGGAAAATCCGAAAGGAACAATGGTCGTTCCATGTGCCACGTAAACAGGAATGACGTGGCATGATAAGTATCGCGCCATTTTCTTTTCTAGTTAGTTAATAAAATAGATTAAAAAATAGAGAGACAAAAAGATATAGTGAAAATATCTTATCAAATTTAAGTGCGATATCAATACGAAAGAATTTCTAGGAAGATATCTATATCTATATGTATAGTCAGTAAGGTTTATCTTTCTCTCTGTGTGAAAGAGAAAGAGAGAAGAGATAAAGAAGCGTCTGGTGAAACGAGGCCCGTTCTAAAAGCAGACTTATAAATTCGGGCTGGGAAAGAGGCTAAGAATTTCTTTTCTTTTTTTTTCTTTTATTCCAAAAATTTACAATATTTTTTTTCGTGGGAATATGCTCGCGCTCGCATGAATAGAGTCTAACAGCATAGAGGGAGATAGAGGCACGGATAGAGAAAGAGAGAGAGAGAGAGAGAAAACTAGAAAAAGAGGAGGGAGAAAGAGAGAAAGCGAGATAGAGAAAGATAGAAACGGACAATCGGGACTTCCTTTGAGTTTGTTTGCCCATTATTAAGTTATTTTCAAAGTCTCAAATGATCATACACAGGCACGCGAATCCACGAATAAAGATCCGTCGTGTGTGGTCGCGCTTATCGATCGAATGATCAACTTCGGGCCACAGTGGTATATCGTATGGTACAAAACACGATCGATCGGGACAAAACAATGGCATTAGAGAGTGTTTCCGTGGCCGAGACTCTAATCCAAAGGTTTGCCTCCACATTTTTTATTCAATGACGAACAGACGTAATTTTTACACGGACTGTCGCTATCGCTACTATATACATTACCACTACTGCTACTACCACTACATTAGTATTACTACTACTACTATTACTTTTATTATTACTACTACTACTACCACCACTACTACTACTACTACTATTCTACTCTACTCTACTGTATTACTATCGCTGCTCTTACACTACATACTTAATCGAGACGCATATACGTGACGTTTATATATACATATATCGTCTTCTTCCCTGCGAGCACATACATATACATACACATTATACATACATATATACATATACCCACACATACATACAACATATATATTCGTAAACGTACACATCGAGCCTTCGTCATCTCGCGAATTCGTTTTGGTCAATATTTGTTCTCATCCGAAAGATGTGAAAAGGAAAAAGAGTCAAGGCAGAGAAAAAGAGAAAGGGTAGATGAAGAAAAAAGGAAAGAAGAAACATCATTCGTCGATCTATTTTTTTTTTTTTTTAATTAGGACACGTTACTTGGAAATAGGATATATATGTTTATCTCGTCGATGCGTCAATTTCCGACAAAGAAATGCAACATGGCGTTCAATGTCTGCTGCGCTATGAAAAACGATTTTTTTTTCTTGGGATTATTCATAAAAGCGCACAAAGGCGTTAACTTTCGTAAAGGGTGGGCGGTTACAAAGGGGCGGGAGGGGGTCAAGGTCGTCTTTATCGTGAACGCGGATTCGTCGCAACTGGGACGTACATATACTACTCGCCAAGCAGCGTTTCCTTACATGTCACGTAGGCGCGTTTAGTGCGATGCTTCTTTCCCGTGAATGATCGGGGGGATCCTTTTAGTCATCCCCTTCATTCAGCAGCAGATACATGCGAATTTATTTCTTTTGAAAAAGCCTTAAGAATTCTTCCTGTATCGTCCGCTTTATTTTCTAGCGAAGACGGACAGAAGGTTGCAACACGAGAATTTTTGTTCTTGTTTAAATCCAGGAGTGAAAGAAAGATTACGACTAAAAGTTAGGAAAAAGAGACTTTTATGTAGCACAAAAATGAGGTATGATATTGTCTTTCTCGAGCCTACGACGTATCCATGTGTTGTAAAATATCATCGCGTATACATGTATATACATGAGTTTCTATATACATGTATTATAGATATATGTTACTCTTTATGAAATATGTGCAAATAGCGTTTCGCGTAACGCTCTTTTTCTTTTTTTCTTTTTTTTTTTTTTTTAAATTTCAACTCGCGCCCTAGGAAATATGAATTACGAAAAATAACGAAATAATACCTTTTCTCTGCTCTCTGCCAATCGCGAGAGAATTTTCAATGCAAAATTCAAGCAAATTAAAACTTGTATTTGGTAAAAGTCGATATTATTGTTTGACGAGAGTAAAAAAACAGAGAGAGAAAGAGAGAGAGAGAGGACAGAGTTTCTATGCTTTTCTTCTTTTTCTTTTTCGATCTTGTTGATATCGAATTTATATGTTCTACCACTTGCAAATACATGTATATATATTACGACACACAATCTCAAACTAAATATCACGTATACGGTATGAAATATTGCGTCATGTCAATCAACAACACACACACACACGCAGATACGTATCGTATGTGCGTTTGCTTTTAAAAAAAAAAAAGTATACATATAAATAAGCGCGCGCGTCGTGTGAAAAACGACACAACGCCATGAACACATCGCTGTGTGTCCGAAGAAACTTTTGGACGGATGCCGATGACATTGACTTTTTAAACGTTATCAGCGATGCTGCAACGATGACAATAATGCTTCATAAAAAATGTGATGTTACAAATGATGTATCTTATGCTTATAGAGTTATGAAGGAAAGATCATGATGATGATGAAAAATCATGACGATGATTATGAATGTTTATATGATGTTAAAAGAGACTTAGTTGCGGTGAGGTAACTTAATCGATTATTTTGAATTTTTTTTATCTTTTTGATTTTGTTTGTTTTTCAAGATAAACGAAGAAGGACATAGAGAGAGAGAGAGAGAGAGAGAGAGAGAGACAACGGAGTATTGATAACATGACTTCATAGTAACAAGGTTTAATAATACGTTTTTGAATTATACGACGTATTTAAATACGTTATTATTAAGCGTGCGCTCGCGCGCACCCTTATGAATATACGTATATTTATTTTTATGTGCGTCGTCATTTGTGCTACGAAAAGACGACGGATTTATTCGAAGAATTTGATTTTTCTCAATTATTTTTCTTCGAACTCTTTTGTGTTAATTAATTTTTCTTAAACGAAATTTCAATTGCTTATTATTATTTATTTGAATACGTTATTTAATCTGTGCAGGGAGTGAAAAATAGGAGTATAAGAAAAGAGAGAAAGCGTTTCTTTTAGATAAAAGTCATTGATCGTTTTTATCGTGTTAAATGCCATTAGTCGTTTCCGACAAACGTATTTAATGTTTTCAGCTTGGATAGTATTGGCAACCTCATTCGCTTATAGTCGACTCGACTGCGAATTTTTTCAAAGCCTCTCTTTACCTAACTCATGTAGTTTCGATTTTCTTAACTAGCAATTTGTCCTTGACAATAATAATGAACTTTTCACGATCTTTCGAGGATGCTTTCTTTGATTAAAGAAATGCTATTTGCATACAAAATCATCGCTAATAAATAATTATGATAAGGTGATAGCATCGGAGAATACCTATTTCTTCTCATTTATGCCTTTAACTTTATAGTATACAAATTATGATGATACTCTTCGTTATTCAGAAATTAGCTGAAACTATTTATATTTAATCGAGTTATCTTACATGGTATCTTCAAGCACATGATTTTCCTAATAAGATACATGTATTTTAGTTAATACATAGAATATCACAACATAAATTTTTTCTTCATGTATAAATAGCTTTGATAAAATTATATTATTCTATTGATGATCCATAAACAATGAGATTTTAGGAAAATCTCAGTTTGTTAATTATTATATCAATGTTTCTAATGTACAAATTAAAACACTCTCTTATTAGATTACAAATTAATATTTTTTAGATTTGAGATTTATTTTATACGTATAAAATTTCTATTAAAGTGATTCTTTTTTATAGGCTTTTGTTAAAACATTGTTGGTATATAGACAATCTAATAGAGAGATTTTTATACTTTTTTAATTACATGCATATTCAACTATTCAAAGCTTTCTCAAGTATTAATTGTTATATAAATTCATATAAAATAATGTAGTAAGAGATTTATTTGAATCAATTATGAAGCATATTTGTTGTTGCTGTAGACATTGACATTCTATATACATTCGATTGGATAAATTATATGTATCGACAGATAAAAAAATTCTATTACTATTAATGATACATTGGTTGAATATTTTCTAATTATCAATTATGTATTCTTTTTTTATCCACAGTAATAATGATAATGACTTGGAAGATGGAGAAATTCCTTCTGATGAAGATGACGAGCCAATTTCTGCACAGACAGAAATAATTGAACCTGCTAAGCCAGTTCCAAAACAAGATGTATCAAAAAATAAAAATTTTGATTCTAAGTTTAATAAAAACAAAAAGCAACCTATTCAAGGAACAACTGCTAAACATGAACGATACTCAAAGTATAAAAATCCATCAGATGATTGGGCAGGTGATGTGGAGAAAGCTATTAGAGCAGCTCTTGAGGAAGATGGGGGTAGAAATACAGATTCAAAATCAAAGAATAAAACTAATAGAAATAAAAGTAGGAAAAGAGTGCGTGATGAGCGAGATGAAGATCGTTCAAAAGATCAAAAGGTTACATTATGAACTATTCTTTTTTACTTGTAATATTTCTTTTTAGGCTTAATTTTTAATTACTATATTACTGATAATTTTTTTACAATATTATTGATAATTTTCTTACAATATTTATAGAAACGGAAATTAAGTGACGATGAGAATGGTAATGAAGATGATGATGAAATGGTTTTTGTACGAGGCGCTTCTCCTATTAGAAAGGATTCTCAAGATAATAGTTCTCCTAGACATACTAATGATCATGAAAATTTTGATAGTAATTCTGATTATGAAGAAAGGCCCAGTATAAACCGACACAGAGAAAATGAGAATAAGCAGCGTGGTGGTAATGGAAGAGGAGGAGGAGGTACTCTTTTTTATTCAAATAATTTTTATTTATGCATAGCTACAAAAAACATAAATGCAATGGTATATTATGAATAATAATATTTTAGGTCGCAGAGGTGGAAAGAATGAACGTGGTGGAAAAAATAAAGGCCGTGGACAATTGAGGAATGAAAGAAATGGGCGAAGAATTCAAACTAATGAACATGGACAAGATCCAGAATCTATTTGTTTGTATTATATGCAAGGAAAATGTCATAGAGGAGATGATTGTCCCTATTCACATAATGCTTTACCTCCCAGAAAGATGGAACTATGCAAGTTTTATCTTATGGACTGTTGTGCTAAAAGGGACAAATGTCTTTATATGCACCATGACTTTCCATGTAAGTTCTTCCATACTGGTTTGAAATGTCATCAAGGTGATAATTGTAAATTTTCGCATCAACCTTTAAATGAGCAGGTAATTAATAAGAATTATTAATAGAGAACAAAAAATTAAAAGTATATTTTATAAAAATTTAATATAAAAATAATGTGTAGTTGAGAGAGAGAGAAAGAGAGAGAGAGA